GGGGTAGGGGTTGGGAGAGTGGAATGGATGGTTTGTGTAGGGTGGTACCCAGAGGCACTTAGTAAAGGCTCGTGTTGAATCAATACTTGTGAGAAACCTACACTTTTGGGACAAATTCTTCTGTATTTAATATTTTTCTATGCTGCTGAAAGCGTTCCCTTGCACGATAAGATGAGACTGGAGACCTTTGTCAAAGCCGTGCAATTCTTTAGAAAGGAGTTAAACCACATTTCGTTCGTCCTCATAAAATATTCACATCTAATCTATAACATCTAATATATTCAGTTATACGGGTGTGTCATAGCGCTTATGCATTCAGTGCGGGCCACCAGGTGCATTTCCTTCAAAAACGGTCGGTTAACTACCGATTGATGAACTATTTAGTAAATTTTACGCAATTACTGAGCTGAGGCACCCAAATAACCCTAATTCTGGACGGATTTACTTCACAAAAGGAAGAAAAAAAAATATCTCTCCTATACTTAAACCAAACGTATTATAAACTGATGTTCTCATGTAGTATTTGTTTACAAGAGAATCTTGATTTTAAACTTTATAGTTGGCGGCGGCCATTGATTAGATGAAACGAATCCTCTCTTCTGATTGCCCACTGGCCATTTTGCCCGCTCGAGATTGCCCACTTTAACCCCGCACAACGAAAAAATGCGGGGAGAGGACTTAACAACAATCGTAATTTTTGGACAATGTCGGTAATGGAGTCGCAAATAGCGACGGAAGACGAAATCACGTTATTTTTTCAATTTGTCAAATGAAAAAACCAGCACGCACCATCACAATTGGCTTTCTTATTAAAATACACAAAGCGTTTTTGATTCTTATAAAAACAAAATATTTTTGCTATATGGTAAATCTGTTGTATATTGACCAAGCTTGTTTAGTCGAGATATTAACTTCGTTCTTTTTGTGCGGTTTTGTGGTCTCGGTCCATAAAAACGGCGGAATAAAAAGAACTAGACTTGACCTCCCTCTTGTTCAATAACACATATATCAGTGTTATCAAATTATAATATAAACAAAGAAAGAGCACATCTGTCGCTAGAATGACCCTCAGGGCTGCGGAATAATAGTCACTGTATGATAAGATCTTTCCTATTTGTTATTCTTATCAGTTCCGAGAAAAAGTAGTCTCCCCCTGCGAGGGAGACTAGAGAAAAAGAGGATCTTTTGTAATTGACTGAATTCCGAGAACAGAAAATAATTTAATCCTTGAACTGCACCTTTAGCTACAAAATCATTTTATTTATCTCTTGTGTGAGAACATTTTGGAGGAAAAACAAGAGCAATTCAACAAATTAACTGTCATGGCTAAGATTGTTGAGGACTTCGAGAGAGAAGCGAGATTTGTCGATTATGTTGAAGCCGAATTAATCCGAGAGAAGCTCGAAACATTGGTGATCAGTATTCTGACGAAAGTGGGGCAGCGAGACAAGCGGTTTGAAAGCACTCTTATCCAGAGCGGAAGTGTTTACGAAGGAGCAAAAGTTCGTCAACCAGATGAATTCGACTTTATGGTAAAACTTAACTCTCTCACGAACAGGCCATCCTTTCATCCGTGCGATAAGGGCGAAGGTTACGTTAAGCTCACTCTGGAAGAAAACGAATGGAGGGAATTTCAAGACGAAGAAGGCTTCTTCAGCCCAAATCTGGTCTGTCGCCATTTTAGGAAACTCGTCAATGAATGTCTAAGCGAGACAGAAGTACCCATGGAACTTCAGATCCGTCGAGCTAGTCGAGAATTGTTGGGTGGATCGTGGGGACCAGTGTTTTCTGACATACTTGGTAGCCGTGGTTCCGAAGACAGTGCATCAGGAGTGATGTACTCTGAAACTCACGGCCCAGCCACAACACTTTACATAGTTTTCCCAAAATTTCCCCTAC